GAGGGTAAATCACACAGTACTTAAAATTTCTAGAGACGGGACTGGATAAGGTACTTGCTACTTGCACCGTGTTTCTCCCCAAGGTTCCCATTGATAGATAAGAACTGGGTGTCTCATCTTCAGATTTACTAAACCCAGAACTTAACATCTATTCGCTAGGATACTTGCCACTCGTGTATATAACTTTTATACTTTTTATTTTGCTCTTACCTGTAACTTCTTTATTGCGAATTCAACGTCCAACTTCAGCTAGCTTCTATAGCGTGGCCCTAATACACCCCACATGCAGGTGATAAGGGTATATCACTGCATGCGTAAGAGAAGTTAACATTTTCTATATACTCCTATGTAAAACTTAGGCCCCCTCTTGTGGCCCCGCCCTACCCCCGGGAGTTATGATATGAACAAACTTGAATCAACTGTATGCAACGAAGCTTTCACATCAGTTTCATCTTTTCTTGCCCAGTGGTTCTTGAGAAGATTTTTAAAAGATGCCCCAAATGTTCACGTATCCTTAATTATTTCCCATTGAAAGAGGGTGTGGCACTTCCTGTGAACAAACTTACCCAAGGATGCTTTGTGGCAAGTTTGGTTGAAACTGGCCGAGTGATTCTTGAGAAGAGGTCGAAAATGCGAAAGGTTTACTGACTTCAGACGTACGCCGGACACTTTTTGATAAAAGAAGACCATTTGAGCCTTCGGCTCAGGTAAGCGAAAAAACTTGCTTCACTCGAGAAAAAAGTCAAATTAATGCTGTTATAGGTAAAGGCTATACGAATGATCCAATTCTTAACATACACAACAAAACCATAATTTACGACAAAAATAATTACACAATCTCCCCCAGAGTGGGGGGGTGTCTACTTGAATCACCATATCTGTCTAAAGTAGGACGTTAAGTGCAATATTTCAGCGATAAGTTTCAATCTTGCATGCATGGACATGTTTTGATGTCTTGTGTATTGCTAATGCAGGTGTCAGAGGCTGCATTTAATTGATCTAGATACATGTGTCTTTTACAGCTCAGAAATTAGTTAATAACAGCACTTAAAACTATTCCCTAGCCTTTTACGTCACCTGCGTCACTCAGACGACATATGTTATCCGATTAATTTCCATCATGCGATGCCAACTTTAGAATATGATTTTTTTTTTTAATCATTATTATAGGTTACCCCATGTGGTCTTACAAACATGTATTGCATGATAGTAAAGGAGATATGCAGATTTAATCAGCCAAGAAAAAGCAAATGAAAAAGAGTGAAGATAACGAGAAGTGATCGTTCTCATAAAAAACTTCAATCGATACAAATCCATGAATAGGGCATAAACACGGACCCCTGGAAATTTCAGAGATGGGATCAGATGCCCAGGAGGAGTAAGCATCCCCTGTTGACCGTGAGAGGCTGATCAAGTAAAAATTTCACAACGAAAAATGTATTTTATAATGAAATAAAATATTTTTTGCAGATATTTAAGAGGCCATTGACTTGGATGCAATGTCTTTTTTTATGGATTATTATTTTACATGTATTTACCGCACATATCCTAGTTAAATAATACTACTATATATATTTGTGTGCAGGTTCACTGGAGGGTAATGTAAGGGTCTTGATAAATCGATATTATAGTGCAAGGGCATACACTCAATTCTCTGGATGTATTAAGCTATTTGAAAAGTGCTGTGATCCAGGTGAAATCTTGAAAATGAGTTAATTATTTCTATATTTAATCCACGTGGTCCGCAAAAAATTCAGCATGCGGTTTTACAAATATGACTTTGACAATGAAATAGTAGAATCTATGTAGGATCGTGACAATTTTCACAAAATACGATGCGTGTTGATAATATTTATAAACTAAACTTACAAATAATGAAATTTAATTTTGTTATACCCTTGTAGGCATGTACTATTGAATTTTTATGTGACCTGAATACTGCAAATATATTTGCTAGGATCACTTGAGAAGTCTAAATAGGAAAATCTTATTGTCCTCAATATGTAATTAATAAAGATAAATACAATTGTTCAATATTTATTTAGTAAAGTACAAGAAAAGAATCGCAATCCCCTTTTCTTTATTTGTTTTCATTTTCTCGTAATAAACAAATAATTGTAGATAAACATTTTCACATTTATGAGGTCCCTCCCTCACTTATCCACATCCATTATTCACACTTCTCATATAGTTAAAATAATGAATACAGTTTGTTACTTATTTCTCTTGAACATTATACATATATTTTCTAAGTTATGAAATATACAGTGTTTCTTATAAAAGAAGGTTTGAAGATGAAAAAATTAATTCGAACTGCTAATGACTTGAAATAATATTAATGTCACTCATCAAAAACTGTGTTTCCGCTAAATTTGTCTTTCCATGAAGATCACATAGAATTTAAAGGTGCCTTGACACAGATCTGAAGTTAATATTTTGTCAAGTTTTCGGTATAATATCATGAGTTATATGTTGCAATAGCATTTCAAACGGAAATAAAATAAAAAACTTATTTTATCTGGAAATTATTGAAACCACAAATTTCGGGACGCATTGTGATTATAAATAAATTTGCAAGCGAAAGAGAAATTTATCCAAATGGGAAGGCCGACTCTACTCGTTCGTTAAAATTATTCTCGCCTTTTTCTTTATAGACCACTGTGTATAATTACAATGTTTCGTTTTATCGAACATTTTAAAGTCATAAAGAATTTCATGACAAAAGGAGTTTTTATGAAATGTACGATGGCATGCACTATATATTTAACTGAAGCCTTGCATCACTTTGTATTCTTTGTTACACTTGACTTTTCAGGTTTCTTGGAAGCAAGGAAAAATTGCATAAATTTCTAAGACAAAAACAACAATGCGCTTATGTTACCTTCAAAGAGTCGCTTTGCCTGAAGCACGCAACTGAAACTTCACTCATAAAACTATGGCGACTGGCGGAAAAGCCAACATATAGGCGTCTACATCAAAAAGTTTTCCATCATTAAATGGGGATCTCATAGCATGCAGAGTATATTTTATTACTGAAAATCTAGAATTCAGTCATTATCTTTAAATTTTCTTTAAAGAATTTTTTCTTAAATTTTTTTGTCCGAAAATTGACAGGGTCATCTATATTATTCTATGGAACGACGAATTGCTCCGACTTAAAGCTTTGAATACATACCAGTGATTTAGAAAATTCTATATATCTTATTTTTTTTTTTTAGAAAGTTCATGAATTTTTCAATCATTGAGTTGAAAACATATCGATTTCGAATAATTCATATTTTATTCATAAAGCAAGAGATATTACAAAGAAAATCTCTATCCTTTCGGGACTGTGCGCATCGTGTGAGAGTCAGTATGGAATACTTATTATTATTAATATTAAAATATGATGAATTTTATAATCCTGTAAAGATATCACAATCAAACTGAAAATTCAAATTATTTAAAAACATTGGTTTTATCGTAATTTAGTAGTTGCTTGATTTTATACTGCGTTATAAATTAAAGAGTATTCAAATGAGTTTTCCTTCTGTTTGAGTTTTATTTTGTACATTATTTTATAAAGTATCCATTTTTGAAGACCTTTTCTTAAGACATAATTTGCACTCCCTTGGATTGAGAAATATTATGGGACAATTTTAAAAGTCTCTACTTAAAATCAATTAATAAGGACACAGAGCCGGATACCAGAAATCGGATTACCTTGGTTACATACTGTCATCTTGACGTACTGTCATTGAATTATGTCAAATGTGAAATTTTATCCTTCCTACCATATTTGGAGAGATAACATCTAAATGATTCCGTGACAAGGTCTCTCAGAGGAAGAAATGGAAAATAATTGGGTACAATGTCTGGTGGAATGGTGGATTTATCTAGTTCGTTCCCGAGAATTAAACGCAAGTCCAAAACATTAAATAATTAAACATGCATCTTGCTATTGAGACGAACGTGCATTACAAAACTAAGTTTTGTTGACAAAACTAAATTTTTATCACACAACGATACACACAATATTGGACACAAGATGGAGGCATATCATTAAAAAAAAGTTCATCCTTCGTTAAGGAATACAAACAATATATTTCTTCATTATTTTTTCTTTTGATTCTTTTCTTTTCTTGTGCTCGAATATGTACAAAATACTATACGCGATGTTTTAGTATACACAATTAACTTTGTACGTAGAAAACCTTTGGGTAAACAATTTACACTGGAAATCAAGGAATTTTAAAAAAGAAAAAAATTATGAAACCAAATAAAAAGCCTTATCTTAAATCATACGCATATGTAGAAGATTGAGGCAGCTCAAGTAAAATATGTCCATGAATTAATCAGGAATTCTTTAAATTCGATAAAAGCGAATTCATAAAACTACTGATTTCGTTCTCTAATGCTTCTGACTAGAACAGGATATTTGAAACTAAACCGTGCAAGAAATAGAGCCCAAAATTTAAATACGTCACTATATCCATTGTGCATGTAATTATAACGAAAGACTTGCAGAGCAGTGATTGAATGAAAGGGCAATAGTCAATTATTCAATAGTGAAAGAAGAAATCCTTAATAGCAGTTGTGAAATAAAGAGTACATGTAATATGACGAGTATATTGTTTCAGGAATGTGACATTAAATGGGCATATTTTTGCCCACTAATACTTTTGAAATTTACGACATAAAGGAAAGTGTAGAAAAAAGGAAACGTTTGACGGAGGGGTTCCTTTCTAATTACAATTAACATAAGCTTTCTATTATAAAGTAATAATTCTCAAGTTCAATAATTTTTTCAACATAAAGTCTGTAATTTCCTTGGCAAATACCGGATATCGTGAAGCCTTAAATGCATATAGATTTTCCTATATGATCGATGCATTATCAATTTATAAAAGCAGCGTTTCTGGCCCGAAGATGTACATTTTGTTTTTTTGTTATAGAAAATCACACAGAAATGCGCTATCTTCTGATAATACATTGGCTTAAATAAAAAAAAATGTACTTACACATTATATTTCCAAATGGCCAATACATCACCAAAACTTTAACAGTTGTAAAGGGGCAACAGAAACACAGGTACACGAGATCCACCAGCGCAAGATTGAGCAAAAATATATTAGTTACGGTGCGAAACGCTTTGTTCCTCACGAAAACGTAAACAACAAGTGCATTCCCAAATATCCCAGTGACAAAAATCACCATAAAAATAATGGGAACTACCCGGATGGCAATTATGTCTTTTTCCGAGTCGTTCATTGTTGACCAATGTTCGTAAGATATGTTGAAGTGTCCGAACGAAGACGCATTCTCGCTCATTCCCTCATGTATTCCTGACATCTCTTTTAATATGCCGCTGTTTTATATTGGTTATTGGTATCGCCGAGAGCACATCACTACATCTCCTGTCACCACATGCGACTTCAACCAGCGCAGGCAATAGAAGATACTCTCTTTTTGTAAATTCTGTTGATCCATTTACTTTTTCTTAAATTGATTTTTTTTTATCAGTGTATCGACATACAAAATGCATGCTGTTGCAGAGGTGATGTTGAATATGCATATCCGCCAACTGGATCTCTGAAGAGTTCAATGTTTTCTTCCGTTCATTTCATTGATTCATTAAAAAAGTTCATATTCTCAAAGTGGAAGTTCCTTTTGCCTGTGACACAGACACACATGGAGTATAAAAATTCTGTGTTCCAAACTTATAACAGACATCAATAAAGGGAGCCCAATAACATGTCTAGCAGTTAAAACTATACTTATACAGGCACTTATAAAATCAGGAGAATTCTTAAACGTGGTGGATATACGGATGAGTTTAGGAAAAGGTTTAAGTACTGCTAAAATTTAGAAGACAGCATAAATTTTAATTTCTTTTTCACAGTCTTGATACTTCTATCCATTACGCCACTAAACTACGTTAATGTAAATATATTTTATTGCTACGATATTTCAAAAAACTCTCGTATATTACAGATAAATACATTTTTAAGGCACTTGTATTTCGAAAAAGTTATGCATGTTTTCCAACGAAATTTTACTAGTGTTCATAATGCAGGGACTATTATTAGAATTGCAGGAATACCCGCAGAAACTTGCATTTTGACAGGTTACTTTCATCTTTGTAAAAGCCACACTTGTAACAAAACAAGAGAGATTACTCTAGATCTGTTGTATTTCCTAGATTTTCATGACATGGTTAAAGTGACAGTACGGCGCATCTCATCAAAAAACTGACTTGATAAAATTTTCTCACAAGATTTGGAATTTTTTTAGTACTCATAAATGTATAAACTTTTTCTGAGTGTAATATACCCCCAAAGATATTCTTCGACTCGAATTTAGTAAGCGCTAACCAAGAAGAGGGGAAATATTGTAGCCTGGAGGACAGGGCTGCTGTATACATGCTAGTTTTCAAAGTATCAAACCGGGATATGTTTTCACTGTAGAATGCTATTATAATATAGAATAAAAATGAAGTTCTTGAATTTATGAAAAAAATGTTTGAAAGGAAGTCTTAAACGTTACCCGTCACATTCATTGACATCCAAAAAGGGGGTACCTACATGACATTTTTCTGATTTTTCCCATTTGTAAAGGTGTTTTCAATGTGTTTGTAAACTTCTTGTATTTTCTAAGAATAGATCTGAATCTTATCTACATTTTTGGAGCACAAATGAAAACGATAATGGCAATAATGAAATAATGGCGATAATGAAAACCTTTTACCTTAGAAAGATTTACTTGAGTTTACATGAATTATCATAATTGTAAACTATAGTTTTCTATTGTACATACTGTAAAAGTAGTTACACGTATACTGAAGTGTTGAAAGTTTGACGGGAACGGTACATTATAAAAATGGAGAGTGGAAACTTTGACAATCTATTAGTATTTAACAGTGCTCTTTAACAGAAATATTAAAGTTGAGAGTGAAAACTTCGACGATTATAAGAAATTCGTCAACGATTCCACGCCTCAGTTTGCATTTTTACAGTAATTCAATAACTTGAAACTTAAAAATTGTATGCTTTGAAAAAAATAAAGTAAAAGGTATGCAGCGCTGCTTTCTTTTTCAGAAATGATTTTTATGTTAAACCATATGAAGAAATTTTAACACAGAAAATTGAAAGATAATTAATTTATTATCACAGCATAACATTCAAAATATGAGGAGTATATGAAAATAATATTCATACCTATTTAATTCGTCTTAGGAAACGTAATAAAGCACTGCTTCTAAGTTAGAATATCACAATGTTATATGTGTCTGTAAGAAAAGAATACACCCATTAGCAAGAGTTATATATCTTTCTAATAAGTATTTTTTCAATGCTTGATTGATTGTACGTTGTTTTACGTCCCATTCGAGAATTTTTCAGTCATATAGAGACGTCACCATATACCGGTGAAGGGCTTCGAATTTAGACCTTTATTCGACACTCAGGGCCTTTGAGCAGTGAGGGTTCTTTATCGTGCCAACGCCTACCGTGACACGTGACCTCGGTTTATAAGGTCTCATCCGAAGGACCCGCAACTTTCTCTTCAAAATGTCGAGCGCTTGGCGAAGTAACAGATGTTACCTATTATTTTTTTTATCGACTTAGGTCAGTCGCGGCCGTGATTCGAACACACGACCTTCCGATCAAGGAGCGATTACTTTACCGATTGAGCTACCCTGACGGCTTTTTTTCAATGAAAGAATGTAATACTAATACAAACTCTAGATGTGGTACTTGGTAGATATATGAAAGCATATTTAAAATGGTCCATAAAAAGTGAGAACTTATTCAATTTTTAGGGGTTTTAAAAATGGATTTAAATGTTTTTATCAAATATAATACAATTTAAAAAGTATAGGCAGAAAGAAATAGAAATTAATGGTTTCATCTGTCAGGTTTGACCGAATTGACTGCCTAAACCTCAGTAAAATAAACTTGGAGTAATATTATGATTTTGTACTTAGAAATTTATCTCTCTTATCAGAGGGTCAGTGCCCCTTAAGTAAACATTCATTATTAATAGTAAATGTTAGCACTTTGATTTACTTAAATAAACATTGTCATCTAGTGTTGTAAAACTTTGAAATTTTGATCAATTGTAGTAAATTAATGTTAACTATGATATAACTATAGTATTGCTAGGATATACTTACAGTATTTTTACTAAGTTTAGTGCAATTCAATATCTTACATAATGAATAGTTTTCGACTTATAACCATTATATAAAAAAGACCCGATTTTAAACGTAATGAGCAATCATCTACTTAATTTGTGAAATCCATGATCTCAAGGAAGGGTTCAGCTGGTTATACATTTAGAATTGTATACGTTAAATATTCTGTGTACTGTAGATTCCTTATTTTACGCGAGTATTTATTTTCGCGAAATGGTCCTTTAACGTCAAATCGCGAGAACAATAATTCGCGAGTGGACGGTTGATCAAGGGATTTTACATTGATTTCAACATCATAAAAAATAAAAGCGAGTAATTTTATTTCGCGAGTGGAGCTTCTCGCGTAATTACGCGATAATTAATTCTTCGCGTATATTTAGGAATCTACAGTATCATTGAAAATTGTCTTGACACTAAAGCGGGCAAACTATTTGCATAATAACGTCAAGTAATAAGCACTCAATTGAAATTGTGACTTTCATTTTGCCTAGGTTCAGGATTCAGTTCAAAGGATGCCAGGGACTTTGAAATATATATATCAAAAAATTCATATTTCTTCTATTTAATAACATCTTATTTACTCCTTGACGACATAAACCTGGGAAACTGTTTACATGATTATGATCAACGGTTTGTCTTCCACCAACATTGTGAAATTCATGTCCCCTTGGTTCATGACTCAGACCCCTTGTATCATATATTATAAAAGTCATGTAACCTTTGAAAAGTTTTTTTTTAACTACTGGACAAACTGCTGTTAACTAAAGAAATACATTTGGGAATATTGTTTTTCTCATGCAGATAATAGGTAAAAAGTGTAAGAAACACGAAAGAAATATACATCTGGTATTTAAAAAACTTAAGGAGGGATTCTTCTCTTATTCTACTCTTATTTCTTGTATTTAAAAATGAATGAAATTTTCATAGATTCAACAATACAATATGACTAAAAAAATTCATATTTCTTCTTATTTAATAGCATCTTATTTACTCCTTGACGACATAAACCTGGGAAACTGTTTGCATGATTATGATCAACGGTTTGTCTTCCACCAACATTGTGAAATTCATGTCCCCTTGGTTCATGACTCAGACCCCTTGTATCATATATTAAAAAAGTCATGTAACCTTTGAAAAGTTTTTTTTCTTTACTACTGGACAAACTGCTGTTAACTAAAGAAATACAATTGGAAATATTGTTTTTCTTATGCAGATAATAGGTAAAAAGTGTAAGAAACACGAAAGAAATATACATCTGGTATTTGAAACACTTAAGGAGGTATTCTTCTATTCTACTCTTATTTCTTGTATTTAAAAATGAATGAAATTTTCATAGATTCAAGAAGACAATATCACTAAATGATGGTATCAATTAGATTAAATTTGACCTTTTTATTTTAGAAACAAGGGCAGGTCAAGGTCATTATCTTTTTCCTTGACATTTAGAGTAAAATATTACTGTTGCTAATCATGTGATGCCTACTTCTATTTTAAAAGATAAAATGTTTTTCTTTTTACACAAAAAGATGTTACCATATCGGGTCTATCAGATGATTTTATCAAATCAATTGACATTATTTAACGTAAATAGATATTAGAAAATCCGGATTTCCTCTGTTTTTCTTAATTTTTTTTTAAAGGATATATTAGTTATTTTTATATACTTCTTATATTTAAATTCATATAAATATACAAAATGATACAAAAACAAAAGGCTTTGACCGTTTAGTAAGAGAGAAAAAACACTTTTTACTGATTTTTTGCTCAGATCTGTTTTCAGGTTGGAGGCTTTTAAAAGCTAACAAGATTGTAGTTTGTTTAGAAAATCATTTTTATTTGCTATGTTTTAAAACTTTAGGGCATTATTATTGATTTTAGTTATATATCAAAATTTCTTCAAGTCTTTGGTTGTTTAAAAAAATTAACCACATGTAATGTTCTGTAAGTGATTTTCATAGGCAGAAAAGGAGATATTTTCATACGCCGCAGTTGCGCCAAAAATATAGTCCCTGCTGGATTTCAAACTCAGTTTATCATTTCTATTTAAAATAGTACAACTATGATGAGTAAAGAAAAATATGACCGTTTAAATACATTACAGCTAAGTTTATAAGACATACAAGCAAATATACTTGGGAATATTTCGTCTAGTCAGAAATCAGACAAGAATCCCTCCTTAAGTAAGCAAGACTTGATCAACGATTTCGTAACCCAAGA